AGTCAAAAAGAAGAATGAAATTATGGCATTTGCCAGTAAATGGATGGAACTGGAGATTATCATGCTAAATGAAATAACCAATCCTAAAAAACCAAAGACTGAATGTTTTCTCTGGTATGTGGATGCTAACACACAATAAGGTAGGGTAAGGGAAGAATATAAGTTCATTGGATTAGACAAAGAGGAATAAAGGAATGGGAGGGGGGATGAGTGTAGGAAATACAGTAGAATGAATCAGACATAATTTTCCCATGTTCACATATGGACACACGACATGTATGTATAATATGTCAAAATCCACCCTACTGTCATGTATATCTAAAAAGAACAAATAAAAAATAAACCAAACAAACAAATAAACAACAAAAAGTAACAGAGAGAGCTCTGGCATATTTCAGAACATTGCCTTTCCATTTGGGAGACACTAGGTTTGAGGGAGAGTACTGTTGTGGGGGAGTGTTTTTCTCTTCTTTCTGTTGGAGTAAGGGAAATATTTGATCTTCACTGTGAGCATCTTTCAGGGCTTCATTTGAAGTCACTCCAAGGCTGGCCTCCCCTGTATTTTTAAGCTCATATTTGTCAGCCTCTGACAATTCACAACTTCTGGTTTTCCTACCCTAGTCCTGGTTCACACCAAAGATTTTGCTGGCGGGTCTTTGCTCTGTTGTGATTCTCTGTACATGTTGACAGCCACTGCTTCCTGGGGGTATTTTTGCTTCTTTAAAAAATGAAGCAAAAGGAATCAGGTGTGGTGATGCAATGGAAAAAGAAGCAAGGGAACCGGTTGCCGTTACGCACACCTATAGTCCATGTGATTTGGGAGGCTGAGGCAGGAGGATCACAAGTTTGAGGCCAGTGTGAGCAACTCAGTGAGACTCTACCTCAAAATTAAAAATCAAAAGAGTCGAGGTGTAGCTCAGTGGTAGCAAGCTCCTGAGTTTAGCCCTCCAGACTGGGGGACAKTAGTCTGCCCCCTTTACTTCAGTTCCTTGATGAATCTAAGAAAAGTTATTTAATTTTAGTTTTTTCCAGTTTTTTACTTGTTGTTGGAATGAAGAGATGACTTCCGAGCTTCTATCATGTTGTGCTGTGTGGAAATTGGGTGCGATTTGAAAGAGTGGGAAGAAGATGGTGAAATTTAAAAAGGGTAAATTCCTTCAAATGTTCATGAAATGGGTCAGTCAACTTTATAGATGGTTATTGGGGCATTCTAGATCACGATCTAGAAGCATGTTGATAGCAACAGCCTCCTGTGACTTGGAAGCAAGAGAAACTAGGTATGGTGACACTTGCCTATGATCCTAGTGACTCAGGAGGCTGAGACAGGAGACCACAAATTCAAGGCCAGTCTGGGCAACCTAGTGAGATCCTGTTTCAAAATTAAAAATCAAAAGGGTTGGGGATGTAGCTCAGTGGTAGAATGCCCGGAGTTCAATCACCACTATTATAAAAGGGAGGAAAAGTATGAAATGTACAATCATTGAAATTTCTCTACTCTCAGCCCACCCATCCCCTTGCCACAAATATAGAGTTTTACCCACAAATACTTCAGGTCTGTCTTCAAAATATAAAGACTTCAGACTTCATGAACATGTGTGTGTGGTACTGGGGATTGAACCCAGAGCCTCACACACTGAGCTACTTCCCCAATCCTTTGTATTGTATTTTAAGACAGAGCCTTGCTAAGTTCTGTAGGCTGGCCTCCGACTTGTGATCCTCCTGCCTCAGCCTCCTAAATCATGTGAATTACAGGTGTGTGCCACTGCTTCTGGCCAAAACGTATAGAAAGACTTTCAATAAGATGTAACCATTGCTTTCAAAATTCACTGGTATAATCTAATTAATATTTGTCTACAKATGAATTATTATTCTTCTCTGTGTAAACAGGATGTTACTCATTGAACATCTAAAGCCTCTTTGTTGATATTATCTTTTGTGGAAACAAGGTCAATATCAAGTAATTTTTCCCAGTCTGGAGGTTGCTGATAATGACCTCAGTTTTAATTTAACATTTCCCCCTATCATTTGATTTCTTTTTAACTTCTATAAACTAGTATTTTGTCCAGAGCAGCGATTTGAATCATAGTCTCTGATTGTTCTACAGCAAGAGCTGCGCCTGTATTGGGAACTTCCTGTGCAAAGATGCAGGTCAAGACTGCCCAGCTGCTATAGTGACCCCCTCCATAAAGGAGATTCTGTGCTTAGGCACGGGATTATCAGTCTTGACCCTGAGTTCAGATGCCAGCTGCCAGGGGTAGAGTGTTATGAGTGAAAGTTGGTAATTATAATTGACCGCTAGAGTTCATCCTTCAGCTTGCTTTCTTTGAAGAAGCTTTCTGACAGAAAACCCTTTTGATGATAAAACCTGTATAATAAATGTGCTGAGCTGGCTCTGAGTCATTATATCTCTATCAGCGTGGGACGTTCCACCCTGCCCCAACTTTCTGTTTGTTTTTATTGACTCCCCACTTCCCCTCGACAGTTTCTGGATTAACACTTGTGCTGGGGATGGCAGTACTTATGAATATTTTGTGGCTTAATCAGGTTCAGTTTCACTTTGACAAAAACACTCTAGATGTTCTGCCTACTTTCTACTGTACTCCAGGAGGCACATGATATCTGATTGTCATTCTTTGGGGAATGTTGCAATTAATCAGCAGGTGTTACCAAACCAATCCATCCATTATAAAATTCCAAGGGTGCTGTTTTAGATAGAGGTTTCAGATAAGGTCTTTCTGAGGGAGTGATTTATTTTTAGTTTTTTATTGAACCCAGGGTGTTTAACCACAGAGCTACATGCCTAGACTGTTTTTTGTTTTGGTGGTGGTGGGGTACCAGGGATTAAACCCAGGACCTATCGACCACTGAGCCACATCCCCAACCCTATTTTTTATTTTTGATTTAGAGACAGGGTCAGGGTCTTGCTGAGTTGCTTTGTGCCTCGCTTTTTGCTGAGGCTGGCTTTGAACTCGCAATCCTCCTGCCTCAGCCTCCCGAGCTGCTGGGCCTGGACTTTTTTAAAAATTAATTTTATTCCACGACAGGGTCTCTCTAAGCTGCTGAAGTTCTCACTAAGTTGTGATGGCCTGGAACTTGTGATCCTACTGTCTCAGCCTCCAGAGCCACTGGGATAACAACTGGCCTGAAAAAGTGACTTTTAACTGTGACCTAAAGTATGAAAAAAGGCAGTCTGGCAGAGTAGAGAAAAAGTATAGTGGGTAGAAACCTTGAGCTGAGAAAGAACTTGTTAGGTAGTATTAAATGAATTTAATTTAGTACCAAATTAAATTCAGATGTGAAAGTGCTTAGAGAAATATAACAATACATAGACATCAGTTGACACACAATGTTTGTTTAATAACCCAATCATATTCCTTCTCCCTCAAAATGTCTATTCAAATTCATCCGCATACTGAGTTCCAACTACTACAAAGTCTGAAATTCAGTCATGATTAATATCTACCATGCTACACAGTACATCATAACATTTTCTTCACATGACCTTAGAGAAAATATTATCTTACATAAAAGGAAGCTGACTCGGAAAGTTAAGGTGAGATATTTATATCCTGCAGAGATAGTTTCCTTTCTTTATCGTGGAGGTTGCGCAACAGGAAGTAACAGAAAATTCGCATCACTTTACTTAGTACCATGAGTGATCCCAGGGGKGCTTAACCACTGAGCTACATCCATTAGAGACAGGCTCTCGCTGAGTCGCCAAGGGCCTCACTAAATCGCTGAGGCTGGCTTTGAATTAGCCATCCTCTGCCTCAGCCTCCMGAGCCGCTGGGATTACAGGTGTGCTGCTGCATATGCCCAGCTTCCCTTCACCTTTTAAATGTTTTTTTTTTTTTTTTTTTTAAAGGAGAAACAATTTTATAGCTCAGGGGTAGAGCACTGGCTTAGCATGTGGGAGGCCCTGGGTTCCCATCCCCAACAAAATCAAAACCAAAAACCACACTTTAACCTCACAGGGTTGTTGTGAGGGTTTAATGAGATAATGTATGTGGAAAGCATTTTGTGAATTGTAAAGTGCTACATAAATGTTAGTTGTTGCTGCTGTATCTGAGATGTCTTGGGTTTTTGTTGTTGTTTTTGCTTTTTTTTTTTCTTTGTTTTTGTTTTCTCCTTCAGAAATAGTCTAATAAACCTCCAGGGATATTCTGTTAAAGTACATTATAGTTGGTAAAACTTTAAATAAAACAGTTGATTACAATTAAAAAAAACACTTTATTCAACAATGAGCAGATTCTTTATGAGAATCTTATCCTATATATGAGTCCTCATTCTAGCAAGATTAGAAAGTATTTGAAGGGCAAGATTTAAGTTATGCATCTTGCAGTTTCTGGAGTACTTTCTTCAGTGCTCGGGTGAGCGAGCTCTGAGTCCTGTCCTGTCCTGTGCTGGGGGAACGAGGCGGGGAACCGGAGAGCTTAACAGAGGGAGGTGTCGGGGAAGAGTCAGAATCCGGCCGGACGCTAAAGCATCCGTAGGATGCAGACACACTCCGGAGCAGGTGCGGAGCAAGAGCGGCAGAACTTCAAACGTCTCTAGAAATGAGCGTGCGTTCTGTCACAGAGGTCAAGTGACACACAGTTCTGTTTATCCGCTAATATCATCGTGAAAGGTCTAAGCAAGAACTGCCGGCGAGGAGCAGTACCCCGAGATCCGCAGCTGGAGATCCACAGCCGCTCCTGGAGGCTCCAGCGCAGGCAGGGAGTCCAGGTGACTGAAACCCGCACCCGGCTTTCTGCAGGCGCGACTTCCCGCTTCGCCCGACGCTATGGTTACTACGCGTGCGCAAGGCCCTTCTTTCCGCACAAAGACCATGGAAGGAGGAATCGGCGCAAGCGCTTTGCGTCTCTCCGAAGATAATGTCGTCATCCCGCCTCCTGGCCAAGGGAGGACTGCGCAACGCCTGCGCCGTGAGTCTCTTCAGGACTTATTTCACGCTGGGGGCGGCGGTGACGTGACGACAGAGCAGGAGGTAGTCCAGGAACGGAAGCCGGGAGGGAACTAGGGCGGAAGGGGACCTGGGCCGGGGTTGTGTTCGGATCCTTGGCGGGGCTGAGGTTCCGATGTGGTCCCCGGAGCGGGAGGCCGAGGCCCCGGCCGGGGGAGACCCGGCGGGCCTCCTGCCCCCCGAGTGGGAGGAGGATGAGGAGCGCATGTCCTTCCTGTTCTCAGCCTTCAAGAGGAGTCGCGAGGTGAACAGCACCGACTGGGACAGCAAGATGGGCTTCTGGGCGCCGTTGGTGCTGAGCCACAGCCGCCGCCAGGGGGTGGTGCGCCTGCGTCTTCGGGACTTGCAGGAGGCCTTTCAGCGCAAGGGCAGCGTCCCGCTGGGGCTGGCCACGGTGCTGCAGGACCTGCTGCGGTGAGGGGCGGGCCGGGCCGCGGCGGGGCGGGCGGGGCGGGCGGGGGGCGGCTCCCCGAGGCCCGGGACCCGGTCCTGTCTCCGACAGCGCACCGCGCCCTGCTCGGGGTCTGGCCCAGAGTAGGCGCCCACTGTACGGCTAGTGGAGGAAGACAAGGAGAAGGCTGGGCGAGGGGATGTTTAGAGGGAGAGGAATAAGGGTCTAGGGGATTTCCGGAGGCCGGGGAAGTCCGATAAGATGGGTTTCAGATGAGAAACCAGCCTGCCAGAGGTGACAATGACTTGTCAGGGCTGGAATCCCGTTAGGTAGTTATTTCCTAAAGGTCTCCAAAATTGAGTTACCCCTGAAGCGAAGGTCTAGGAAACAGGATTCATTAAGCAAGGAAGGTCAAAGCTAAGTGGAGAGAATTCATGGAGAAGAGGGTTTTAGGGATCTTGCCAGCAAACCCTGGCACAGGTCATGTGTCTGGCCTTTCCTGGCCTGTCCCAGCACAGACTGGAACAGAGAGGACATAAAGGAGAGTGAGGATTTCACTGAATATCTAGGGTCTTGAAGAGGTCTGTAGGCGATAAGTGTGTGACAGGCACAGTGTTTTGGAGATACCTGAGGAGGTGACACTCTTAAGTTCTAGTAGGTGCACAACACTTCACGGTATGCAGATACTTTACATATTCCATTTCACCTGACCATCTCAAGAGCCTTACAGCAAGATGATATAATTATACTCATCAAAGAATCTTGGAAATTGAGTCACAGAGATTGAGGAACTCAGAGTCACACAGCTAGGACACACACAGAGGACTGGACCCCTGATCTTCACATTTTAAATCATTTGTACTTCACTTTATGTATACTTAGACCAGGCAACCTATCATGGATCCTCCCTCCGTGAAAGAAAGGAGAAAGTCAACTCTGATATGCATTTTTAGTTTGCTGCACTTTCTGATTMAGTAGTCTCCCTTCCCCTGTTCCCAGTACTATTCCTTAGCCAACCTTGATGTTCAGGTCTTTCTGAAATTCTCTTTAAAAAAAAAAAAAAAAAGTGGTGTGGAAAACATTTTGCTTCATGCCWAAAGTGGAGAACAGTGCAGACAGTAGCCGAGGAAGTCATTGAGGGATATGACCAGAATGGTCCTCCTATGATAGAAGGACAATCATCATCTACCTCTTCCTGTCCAGAGACCTTTGACATCTTGATGCCCCCCTCTTTTGACTGCTGATTCTCTACTGAAGCTACCTGGTGCCTGATTGGGTCTGACACCTGAAGAAATTCTGAGGGAGATATTTCCCCATGGAAGCAGCATTGCATAGGAATTAACTTTGCTTGAGGGTCAGACAGTTGGGCTCAAATCCAACTGACCATGGCAAGTGTTCAGTGAATTTAGCAGCTGTCATGTTACCGGTACCAAGAAACACATCTCATTTCCACCTTAGCTTAGAGATAGCAGGAAGCCYTGTCCCTGTATATCATTGTTTTCTTCCTTCTGTTTTGCATTTGACAGTGATCATTATTGTTTTCGTTTGATTGTTTTGAGCTGTTTGTGAAAGGAACTCTCAGTGCAGGCCCAGTAGCTCCCTGTGACTCTGGAGTCTCAGTGAAGCGCTTGTTTTCTGGAGCCAGACAAATCATGGCTTCCATTTGACTTTCTCCTTACGGTCTCAGACTCTCAGTTTCCTCATTAGTTAAAATGCTGATGACACTATCTATCTGCAGAGTGTTGTGAGGCCTAGCCCTGGAATAGAAACAGTGCTGCTTCCAGTAGCTGCATGGAGTAGACATCTAATAAAAGGTCATTATAATGATGATAAAATTCCACTTTGTGGGTTATGGGGCCACTAGGGACTGGAATGGAACATTGCATGAAGTGCTACTTCATGATTTTCTTCTCTCCCTGCAGTCGAGGGGAGCTGCAGCGTGAGTCAGATTTCATGGCCAGTGTAGACAGCAGCTGGATCTCCTGGGGGGTTGGAGTCTTCCTGCTGAAGCCCCTCAAGTGGACTCTTTCTAACATGCTGGGGGATAACAAGGTTCCAGCTGAGGAGGTACTTGTGGCCGTGGAGCTGCTCAAGGTATGTATGCAAGAGGGAGAGACCTGGGGCAGGAGCCTGCACATACATTCTTAGGAGAAGACTGTCTTTTTTTTAAGCTGGTGACAAGAGTTGATACCTGAGTTTCCCTGACTTCCAATGCCCTGTACTTGGTAGCATTATGTATTTGTTAGACTATATGTTTCAAGGATGACACTTTGTCTAAGAATTGTCAGTAACAAGTAGTCGATTGCTGTGGTATTTGTAGGGATTAACAATAAACTACAGTTTACGAAATGCTTTGCCTTTTGTAGTTTGCTGACACGAAATTCCCTGGATTTCTGAGAACCCTGTGAGTTCCAATTTTGCTTACCCCTAATCAGCAAACTAGCTCTACTTTCCCACCCTGCATCTCCTCATTTCCGCTTCCAGCTTACTGATGGCTTGCCCTGCACCCCCTGCACCATCCTGCTCCTCTCCCTCAAGAGTCAGCCAGTGCCTGGAGCCCTCTTGACTCCCACTCAGCAGCTTCTTCCTGGGCCACTCTTGCCTCTAGGCCAAACCACACTGAGTGCCTGACTAATGCCAGTGCCCGCAGCAACTCTTGTTCCACACCAGGAGTCACACAGCAGATCCACAGCCTTAAGTCAGCCCCACTGCCCTTGTCACCCTGATGGGGCCCCAATTATGGTCCCCAGCTGTAGGAACACTCTCAAAGCCACTCTACAGCCCAGTTTTCTTGGTCCCTCCCATTCCCCCCCCAACCAGTGGCCYCCATCCATCCTTTGCCCTTCAACTCTGTGGACTCTTCACCCAGGGCTTCAGTGTTCTGTTCCTCCTCCTCAAGTTTAACCTCCCAAGCCCTCTGTCTCCTACACTCTGAGGGGAAGTGGCCTTCCTCTGTTCACACATGCCCTTGAGTCTTTGCCTACCCCTCTTGTCACGTGTCTCGTCAGTCAGTCACTTGCTTTGTATATTCCGTCACCTTCTCTTTTGATGCTCTCCTTCTTTATCTGCCAAACCTACCAAGCTTTTCCCATTACAGATTGGTTCTTTTATGATCCCTGTTCTTGCCAAAACTGCTATGGAAAGGTTGTGGGAACCTTTAAGTTTGTTTGTGTTTACAGAGTTAACTGAACACCAGGTAGCGAAAGTGTGCTGCCCTCGTGGTTATTTTTGAAACTCAAGCCCAACTTCAGAGGCTTTGCAAGTCTCTGGAGGTTTCCACACAGCTGGAGCCAGCAGAATCCCCATTCCCCACCCCCATCCCAGGAGAAGCATCCATTTCCCCTCATCTTGACAGACCCCTGTGATGTCTGCCTCAGGCTGAGGGGAAATCCCGATATCTAGCAGTCTTCCCTGTCCTGTGTGACTTTCTACTGTGCAGCCCACATTTTCTTCACCCCTTCCCTGCCTCAGGCTCTCTTGCCTCCCAGTGCCTCCTCTCCAGGCCTCAGTCATTGTCCCCATGGAGACTGCAGGGTGCATTGGTGTTTCTGGGCCAAGCTTAGGTCCTCTTTTCAGGCCTTTACCCCATATGTTCTCCAACCTGGAGCAAGAAGAGGTGCATCCACTGAGCTCCGCAGATACGGTTTTGGAGTCCTAATCTTTTTGAGAGCAAAGGTGAAGAATGGGGGTGGATAGGGAAGTACATAGTTCTCTCAGAACTTACCGTAATTTTTCAGAGCTATTTAGGTAGAAAAATAAATCTTCAGACTCTGTAGATTAACTCTGTACTGTTAATTGTGTGTCCATTTCACATCACTCAACATTACTTTATGTCTCATTCGGTGACATCTGCTTTCATATTCATGGTGACTCCTGTTTTCTCTTGGGGGATGGGGACTTGTTTACATTTGTGAAATGAAAGGGGTTTATCTGGATTTAGAAGGGTCTAGATATGGAAAGAAACCCTGCTCATGAGGGAGATTGCTTTTTCCCAGGTCCAGGTATGGAAAACAGTGAGTAAATTTTTACTTTCTTTAAAACAGTACTAAAAAAATACAAAAAAGTGAAAATTGCCCATGACTTTGCTATTTAAAAAACTGTACATGGAATTGACAGTTTCCTCTAGTTCATTGCATTTTTGTCTCTTTGGGCGTGTTCTTTTCTCCTTTGTTTGTGTGTGTGTGCTTATAGACATATGTCTTTTCTTATTGATTATGTTACTCTCTGTATTGTTTTTAGCACTAACTGGAAAACCTTACTTTTTCACTTGTTTATCCCTTGACTCTCCTACTAGAAAGGAGACGCTCTGGGACCCTGGAACTGTGCCTGGTGCATAGTAGACAGTCAATAAATATTGGTTGAAGGAATGAATGGGTATATATTCACTCCATTTATTTTTTCCTGGAAATGAAGTTGGTCTGCACCCAGCTTTTCTTATTTTCACTTTAGTATACCATGAGCATCTTTCCAGGTCCTATACAATATGGATCCACTTCATTCTTTTTGATGGCTCTGAAATAATTGTAGTAATATGCTACACATTATGCAATACTTTCCCCACAGGTGGACATGTAATTTATTCCAAGTTCTTTCTCCATTTTTCCATTAAAATAAATGCACTTTGACAGCCTTATGTGTACATCTTTTGTACCTGCACTTTTATTTTCATAGAACGGATTTCTAGAAGTGCATGCATACCTTTTACTTTTTAACAAAAATTGTCCAGTTACTTTTTAAGTTTGTACTAATTTAAACTTTGATCAAGAATGTCTTAACTCAGTCTCCCCACATTCTTATCAGCACTGGGTAACATTAATCCTTCGAAATTACTTCCTTGGGCTGAGGTTGTGGCTCAGCGGTAGAGTGCTTGCCTAGCACATGCAAGGCCCTGGGTTCGATCCTCAGCACCCATAAAAATAAATAAGTAAAGGTATTGTGTCCAACTACAATTAAAAAATAAATATTTAAAAGAATTACTTCCTCTTTGTGCGTTGAGCATCTTTTTACCTGTTTACTAGCCACTGACTTCTCCTTGTGTGAATCGCCCACATATATCCTTTGCCTTTTTATGTTACATTGTTTGTCTTTTTTCCTGAATTATAGTTCTTTGTGTATTGGAGATAGATACCTAAAACACATTTGGCATTAGGGATGTAAATATTGTTTCCCAGTCTGTTGCTTACCTTTAATTTATGGTAGAAAAATAAATCTTCAGACTCAGTAGAACCACAGTACTGTTAAAACTTTTATCATCCACAAGTTTTTATATTTCTGCAGTTAGAGCTCTTACATTTTCCATTCTGTCTACTGAACTTCTGGTTTTGCTTAGGAAGGCATCTTTTGCCTCAAACTTCATCAGATATTCTTTTATATTTTATTTTAATTACTTTATACTGTTATTTTTCCAGTTTAGATTTCAACACTTGAGGGTGTTTTTTTGTTTGTTTGTTTGTTTGTTTTTGTCTGTATGGTGAGGAAAAGCCCTTTGTTTTTCCAAATAGGCAGTTTTCTAGTGCCTTTAATGCTGTATACCATTAATTGATTTATATATGGACACCAAACTCCTTATCACAGTAGCTTTGTAGGGTTACTATCTTCTGGGACAGTCAAATCTAATGAAAAGTTTACTTTCTGTCTAAAAACTCTTCTGCTATCTTTGATGTTGTTGACCATTTTCTTAAAATTTCCCTTTTTCTCGAATCTGTTCTTTACACCACAGGTGCTCCTTGTTTCTTTCTAAGAAGCCCTGCTAGGTCTGTAGTGTGTCGCTTCACGGCTTGACCATTGGTCTTCTTCAGCTCATTATTTTCCTCCCTGGGTGTCCTTGGGTAGTCTCACTTCCCTGGGATCTTGATTACTGCTGTGTGCTGAGGACTTTGAGCGTTCTCTGTGCTGTCCTGGACCCCCTGCTGTTTCCTCTGGGCTTCAGATTTGTATGTCCCATTAKCTGCTGTATGTATCTTCCTGGATACCCCTGAGGCATCCCAGACATATCCAAAATGGTATGTTTTATCTTTCCTTTAAAATAGGCTTTCCTTCCTGAATTTTTGCTATTAGTTAATAGCATCCCATCTACCAGTTACTCAAGTTGGAACCTAGGCCTCTTCCTTCTGTACTTAGTTATCATGAACTGCCAGTTTTTTCTTCTAAATTTTGCTTGAATCCACCTCTTCTCTCTCCCTGTTTACCACATGTTTCAGCCCCACATCTTCCTTTGTGTCAGTGGTCTCCCAACCTCTAACCCTGACTCTATAGTCTGTCCTTCTCAATTGTCAGCTCTAGTCATGCTCTAGTCATGACAGTCCTGCGACTGCCTACCACTGGCAGAGCAAAGGACGGTGTATAAGATACTCCATCTGCATAGCAAAGAAGTGCTTCTGCCCTCGCTGCCTTCTCCTCCAGACAAGAACACACAGCCCATCGACTCACACTTCTTTGCTCATGGTTGCTGCCTGAGGTATCCCTCCACCTACTTCACCTTGAGATTACTCACCCTTCAGCTTCTGCTCAAGAGTTTTTTTTAAAAGGAAACTCCAGCCAGGTGCAGTGGCACACTCTGTAATCACAGCAACTCAGAAGGCTGGGGCAGGAGGATTACAAGTTCAAGGCCAGCCTTAGCAACTTAGTGAGACCTGTCTCAAAATGAAAAGGACTGGGGATGTGGCTCAGTGGTAAAATGCATCTGGGCTCAATCCCCAGTACCAAAAAATAAATTTCCAAATCTCTAGATTTCCTTCCCTGTATTTTCATAGCACCCTACACATATATCAGCAAATACTTGTTTACAGAAGTAATTGTCCCATCTAGAAACAGTGACTTTTTTTTCTCTTGGAACTTGTATTTCTTAGTCTTTTCACTGATTGCCTCCGTCCTGTTCACCCACTGTTCCCTTAAGACTGTGGGCTCAGTGGCATTTGTGTCTGGTCTGCAGTATTTCCAGTTGGGATAAAATGGAGACTAGAATTGGAGGGGGTTTGGGCATCATCTCATCCACCCTCTTTGGTTTGTGAAAGGGATGCTGATGACCAGTGAGAGTCGCACAGCCTGGCTGGAAGTCGGGCTCAGCTCTAGTTCAGGGCTCATTCTGTCATAGTTCCCACCGCCATTCCTCACTGGAGGAACCACAGTACCAGGGAGAAGCAGAAATGTAAAGTGTCAGGTGGAAGTGCCAGCAGTTTCATGTGCTTCATTTCATTCATATAGTCACSAACTTTCTTCCAAAGTTGAAAACCACACACATCTTTTTTCCTTTTTAAGATTCTCCTACATTGTGGGGGTGGGGTTGCTGCTCCTACTCTTGCCTGATGTCTTCATGGTCTGGAGCTCAGGGTCACCGCGTGCTGCCTCCTCGGCGGTGACCAGGGCCTGTGGGCCCCTTTGCTCTCCCTGCAGGAAAAGGCTGAGGAGGTTTACCGCCTGTACCAGCACTCGCCCCTCTCCTCCCACCCTGTGGTGGCCCTGTCAGAGCTGAGCACCCTCTGCGCTAATTCCTGCCCAGACGAGAGGACCTTCTACTTGGTGTTGCTGCAACTGCAGAAGGAGAAGAGAGTCACTGTCCTCGAGCAGAATGGGGAGAAGGTGGGGAAGAGCATCCATTCATCTGCATGCACATGCCCATGCCCTGACTGCTTGGAAATTTCTTAGCATGTATCTAAGGGCCACAGTAATTTGTCTCTGTCTCCAGATTGTGAAGTTTGCCCGGGGGCCACATGCCAAGGTGTCTCCTGTCAACGATGTAGATGTTGGGGTCTACCAGCTGATGCAGAGTGAGCAGCTTCTCTCACGAAAGGTGGAGTCCTTATCCCAGGAAGCCGAGAGGTAACTCCCTGAGCCAGGCAGAGCTGAGCCAGGTGTGGAGCCCTGGTGTCTTGGGGCTCTTTGCAAAGAAATTCTAGTTATTTATTGACTGATGACAAAAGCACTAATTGCTCAATGCAAAAACCTTAAAAAACACAGAGTATCACAAGGAGAGAAATATAAGTCAGTTCCTCCCCCAAAGATTGTAACTGTTAATGTCTTATTTATGCCTCTCCGTACCCAAGTTCTGTTAGCCAGCGTTTATCCAGCTGACATCATCTTAGGGTATGGGACACGTCAGTGAGCAAGATAAGTCTGTGCCTTTACGGAGGTTCCCCTGAGGGACTCCTACTCCCTCTCTGGGATACCTGTACAGGGGTCCCTCGTAACAGACACCCATCTAAAAGGAAGACAGACAGACATTGAGTTAGAGCCGTGACTCTGCCTCAGTGAGAGAAAAGCAGATATGGGGGGAGGTGGAGGCATGCATCCTAGGTTGTCATCTCCCGACATGTTCGCACGTTTTCTTCCCAAGGGCTTCAGCTTCTCCTTGGTCATCTTGCTTTCCACACACAACTGCTGCATCGTGATTTGCTCTCAGAGTTTGGCAGGGGGCTGCTGGGCACCATAGTTCTGGCCATGGGGATTTGATCTTCAGATCTGAGATCAGTTTCACTCAGTTCTATTCTTAGGGACTCTTCAGGACCACGCCACCCGTCCTGTGGCACAATCCTTTCATTTGTCCTTTGCTTCCTAGGTGTAAAGAGGAAGCCCGCCGGGCATGCCGAGCAGGAAAGAAGCAGTTGGTGAGTTCTGACCCCTCCAGCTGTGTGGCAGCATCTGAGGCTGGCAGCAAGAGGTGCCAGCAGCTCAGAGTGCAGCATGCTTGGGGTCAGGGGAACAGAGTCTGCCTGTTTTATAAACGAATCAGCAGTAGGCCTGGGAAGATCTTATCTGCGAGGGGCCCTCTGTCTCTCGCCCTTTGACCTGCCACATCTAGCCTGACCTAAGTCTTCATGTCTCCTAGGCACTGAGGTCTCTCAAGGCCAAGCAACGGACAGAGAAACGCATTGAAGCCCTACATGCCAAGCTGGACACTGTTCAAGGCATCCTGGACCGCATCTATGCCTCCCAGACAGATCAGATGGTAGCCACATCCCCTCCGCACCAGCACCTGGCTGGTCTCTGGCACACGCTGCTCCTCCTCACCCCAGGGCCATGCTGTTGGGAAGAGACCTGGCTTCTCTGTGGGTGTGGCTGGGGTTGCCTTTGCCTTCCCTGTCCAGAAGTTTGGCCTAAGTGGGTGTGTGGTGAATCAAACTTGGGTGGCCAGAAAAACCCCAAAGCACTCTTGGGTGATGAAGAAGTATTGTCTGTATTTTGTCAAGTGTTTGTCATTTGCACTGATAGCTTGGCCTTCTCTTTAGGTTTTCAATGCCTACCAGGCGGGGGTGGGAGCCCTCAAGCTCTCCATGAAGGATGTCACAGTGGAGAAGGCAGAGAGCCTTGTGGATCAGATCCAGGAGGTACAGGAAAGGGCCGGGGGGATACATGCTTCAGAGGACAGATTTCTAACCTCATAACCTTATAACCTTGAAGAACCTTTCCTGGATTTCTCAGATGCTTTGTAATCCTAAACATTTTTCCCTAAAGACTTTGTGACGCTCTAAGCCACCATTCCCAGTTCAGGGCTTTACACTTGTGTCTTACAGCTGTGTGACACCCAGGACGAAGTTTCTCAGACTCTGGCTGGTGGGGTAACCAATGGTTTAGGTAAGCTGATAAGGTCCCCCTTCCTTCCTTTTTCCCTTTATTCCTTCCTGAGAGGCTTTGCTTCCTTGTGGTGTGACAGGTGGGACAATGGACTTGCTTTTCCTGGTGCTGGCAGCCCCCTCTGGGGTCATCCAGGAGCAGTTAGAGAGAATTGCCATTTCATCCTTGAGCAGCTATTCTGATCCACTGATCCTTACTCACAGCCTTCTGACTGGCAGGTCCTTCTTCAAGAATAAGGGGAAGTGGGTCAATTGTATGGGGTTAGCAGAGTATACCCAGCTTTGCATGTGGAAAAATCATATCTGTCTCCCAATTCATGTGACTCTTTTAACCTGCAAGGAGGCTGAGGTATCTTGTAACTGAGCTGGGTTTTGATAAGCCCAGTTCTGAATGAATGAATGCATTCCCTCCCCAGAGTTATCATATTCTTATGTTGTCTATTCTTCCCAGATTTTGACAGTGAGGAACTGGAGAAGGAATTGGACATCCTCCTTCAGGACACCACCAAAGAACCTTTGGACCTGCCCGACAACCCCCACGAGACGCTTTATACCAACAGTGTGCCTAACCCTAGGATCTCGGATGCTGAACTTGAAGCTGAACTTGAGAAACTGTCCTTATCAGAGGGAGGTATGGAGCTCTTCTCCAGGATTGCCAGTGGGCATATGACCTTCTGGCTAACAGAGAAACCAGGCACAGACTGATGGCTTCCTGTCCATGTATTCTATTTTCCCAGTACCTAGGCCCCCAAAAGAAGGGAGTTTCATTATTTATATGAAGATTCAGTCCCTTAAATGCCCAAGATATTTTCATTTAAAGATCTTCCTGTTATAGAGCTGGTATTTCTTCTCTTTGCAGGTTTGGTCCCAAGCAGTAAATCTCCAAAAAGGCAATTGGAACCAGCTCTCTAAAGCCATTGAAGGACCCTCAACGAAGGACCCTCATGTAAAAGAGAGACCAGCTTTGTGCGTGTACATAGTAATTTAAATGAGAAACATTCAGAATTTATTGGAAGAGGAGGAAGGAGAACCACTGATGTGTCTGGAGGCTCCCACTTACAACAGGACAGAGAATTTCTGGAAGCGATGCTCCAAAGCCTTGCTCCAGCTCGTATCATGGACCTGCCTTCTCATCTTTATAGTGCCACAATTTATACAGTTCTGTGTTTGACCTGTCGTCTCATAGCCTGCAGTTCTTGCCGTTGGCTCAGTTAGGTTTGTCTTCACCCGCCAGCTGCATTCCAGCCCATGAAGGTGAAAGTTGTGCAGCTCCGCCAAATCAGTCAGTCCTCTCCCAGCCCCGTGGTTTTTGAGAGGGATTTATTCTGTCKTAATGTCTGTTAAACAGCTTATTCCTGCCCTATTCTATTTTCACTGGTGATGGAAATGAAAATCAGACACAAGATTTATTTGGGGGGACTTAATAGCAGCTGCTTCGTGGAGAAACACACAGTGTACAAAATTTCTTTCCCAGGGTTGTCAGATTCTCCAGGTGTTCAGAAAAAGAGGTTATGCTTGAGTGGCTTAGGGTCCTGACAGCTGGTGGGGGGCTGCTGTGGTTGGTGAACACAGCCTCTTCCATGGTATGCAGAAGATCTGCTGTTGGGGAAGGGTTATTCTTGCTCTTTTGAACGTGAGTGGGGAAAAGCCCAGGTGACTACAGAGCTCCTGAGTTGTCTAAAGCCCAGGTTTTTTTTAAAGATGCAAAGTTTTTGCTTTGGCCCCATCATGGTAAAACTTCCACACAATATCAGACCTCCCCTCTTGAGCCTGGCACACACCAACAGACTCCCTGTTTAAATCTGGAAAGCATTTTCATAGACCACTGCTCAGGGTGGGCATCTGAGCCAGGATGTGCAATAGGAGCAGGCGGCTGTGGCCCTCAGCCGGATCTGCCATGTGCTTCCCCAGGCCCTGCTTTGCACTGTCCTTGCCCCTCACGGTCCCATCTTCCCACTTCCTTTGATGAGTGGGGGAAGGGCTGTGAGCGGCAGGCAGGAGAGGGTCTGAATGCTCCGGCAAGGAGAAGAGAAGATGACAGCCACACTGCCACTCTGCTGCCCAGGTACAAGGATTCTGCCYGGACCCTTTGCCCTGACCCTCCTGCTTGGGGTGGAGGAGTGGCGTGGAGGAGTGGCTCCAGGCCAGGAGCTCGAATCACTGATCAACGCATTTCTCTCCCACTCCACCTTGGTAACCGGAAATGTTGGGGGTGAAGAGAAACAATCACTATTTTTTTCTTTTTTATCTGGTAAATAATTAAAAGAGAAAACCCTAGTGTTTGTCCTTGTCTCTTCTTGAGGTGGTATCAAGTTTCCTCTGCCTTCCTGCCWACTGTGGCTCCCCATGGAGCTACACTTTGGTTCTTCCACCTACTACCACAGGGGAATGTGAGCCCTGAGCTGCAGGACAGCCAGTTAGTCTAACTGGCTGACCTCATGGGTCCTTGCTGCCCTGGGCGGGACTGGTTCTGTGGTTGGCCTCCTTGGCTGTGGAGTGTGCTGCCAGTCCATTCGTGGGTCATGTTTGTCTTCCACAGCCTCATCTACATTAGGTGAATGACCTAATTCTTCTGCTCACCTGATGGTGCAGTCACCTCAGGGTAGTCAGTGTCATAGTCTGGCACTGACGTTTCTCAGTGCTGGTTGTTGCGTATGATATTTGCCATGCTCTGAGGGGGGCACAGGTTAAAGGCTGAGTGCAGCCAGGAGCCAGCCTAAGGCCTGTCAGGACACCGGACATGCAGCTCCAGGTAAGTTGGCAGGTGAGGCAGCCAGGGAAAAGATGTTAGGAGTGGTAGCCTGGGGAGCCGAAGGCCTGGGACCTCATGAGAAAGGTTAGTCCGCAGGGAATGTGCAGGGAAGCCTGAGGGGCAGGGACTGGGCTGTAAGGAAGTGACCTGGACTAGATGGAYCTCCTTAGTTGCTCTTTTTCTTTGGCTGCTAGAAAACCCTTGATTCAGCATCTTTCACAAAAGACCAGGGTTCTGTAGAGCCTGGTGGTGCAAGCCTGTAATCCCAGGGACTCGGATGGCTGAGGCCGGAAGATTGCAAGTTCAAAGTCAGCCTTAGCAAGTTGGTGAGACCCTGCTAAAAACATAAAAATGTCTGGGGATGTGACTCAGTGGTTCAGCGCATCTGGGTTCAATCCCTGGTGTAAAAAAAAAAAAAAAAAAAAAAAATCCAGGGTGTTAGAGTCACAGTTTATCTTCATTGGGGTCCTAATCTGGCTGCCCTTGAGTCTGAGCTGCCAGGTGTCTCTGCCCTGCTGCTGGCCCTGAGCACCCACCCTGCACTGGGGAGACCATGCCCTTTGTGGAATGTGGCAGGTTTCAGGCTCTAATCATGTGATCTGCATTTAACAGGAAATTCTTGCCAGGCTTTCCTCTCAACCCTGAGGTGTGATGGAGACAGTCAAATTCCTCTCCTGCCTGAGAGGAGGGCCACCACTTCTCCAATAGTGGCCCCCAGTCTACACTCAGCTCTCCTGGTCCTAGAGTGGGAGGTACATGAAGCCCMGAAGAGGACCTCCTTGTCCTTGGGCATCACTGCTGCCACTCCCACGCGTACTGTGTAGCCGGAACAAGATGTCAGGGGACTCCTGTGTGGCGGCTGGGAGGCCACAACTGAATTGATATTGAGTGAATGAAACTGATGTCTGTGATGGGGGTCTGTCTGCCCTTGTGGGGTGTGCAGGACCCTTTCGTATTATGTTTCTGGGTTCTAATTCTCTAGACTATTTCTAGGTTTTTCCCTTTCATTGCTGTAATTTTCTCCATCTTACATTATGGCAGTCTTCATCCCCAAATCCTATTAGGGCTTCTAGCTCCTGCCCCAAAATACCTTTCCTCATTCCTTAAATTCTTGAAGAGGGGTCAAAGTTTTTTATGCACAGGGAAAGCTCAAGCTTTATGTGCACATATTCTTTGAGTACACCACACACTGCCTCACATACACCGCAGAATGAACGACTGAAGACAGGGAAGCGGGCAGGGTGACTTACAGAGGAGCTGGGTGTGTACGGGGACCAGGTAGAGGAAGAATTCAGTGGAGGCTTGGCAGCCATATGGGCTCTAAGCTCAGTCTACCACTGGGGATTGGTATTGGTGGTGGTGGTGACATGGTAATGGATCGATGATGGTGCTGGTGAGGTGAGGGTGGAYACATGGTGCAGTCACCTCAGGGTAGTCTGTGAATAGTCGGAAACAAAACCCACCTTTTCTCCTATGATACTCTGAACAGTCAACGCAGAACATTCCCGATCCAGACGTGCCCCAACTACCACTTCTCCAACACCAGCAGGGCGCCTCGAAAACTTGCTCACTTCTGACTCTAACCAGTTAGTACAGACCCCTGGATTAAGTCTGCAGTCCTGCAAGACTGYCCCCCTTCAGACACGATTGCAAGTAGTAGCTTCCCTGGTTACCCACAATTTCTATCTGACCTGGCTACTAATCATTTATGAAAGGGTGTTACAAAGTTGAACAGCTGGATGAAAAGGTGCATACAGTAGGTGTGAGTCCCCTCTGGGGCACCCCCTCCTGGAACCACCACACGCTGGCCATCCTGGAAGTACTCTGATACCACTTAACCTCTATACTATACTGAGATAATGGCAGAAGGCAGATTTGGACAATGGGATACCTGCAGTTTGGGTTGTTTTAATCAATTCCCTAGGGTCTGCTTCCTTAAATGATGCTGCGCGGATTTCCTTTTGGGTACAAAATACCAACATGTGTGTTCCCAGCCTGTTGTTCCATGGACAGGGATGGACAGTCGCTGTCGCTGTGGTAAGTGCATGTTTGTGAAGCCAGATTTAAAGTTAGGTAGTCAGCGTAGTTAGATAAATCGGGTCTAATACCGAGTGAAATCTAAAATGGAGGCCATGCTGAGAATGATTCCGGGAAAAGCAGGACAATTCATRGAATGTTAATGAAGTCCAAAAAGGCCCTAGGCCAAAGTCCACCTCAAAGAAGTGAACAGCCCCCAGCAAACTTGAAGGTGCTGACTCAGAAGTCCTTCCTGACCAGATTACTTCTTTGGCCCACYTGTGTCCCACCCCTCGGGCCTTCCCACCTACATTCCATCACCAGAACTATAAAAAGGGGAAACAACCGCACTTCCACGGATTCCACCTCTTGGGTCCCCTTCTTCCTCCGGGAGAAGTCTTTCCTGCTGTCCTTTAATAAACTTCTAATTTCGACTCTGCCCTTGCCTCGGCGTGCTTCTCTGGTGTTATTCTTCAACATTGGGAAAGCAAGGACTCGTCACCGGTCAACAGCGGTAACATTTGGAGCTACCCTCATTCTCACCTTCCTGTGTGTGCAAGGACGAGCCAGGGTGACCTGGAGCAGTCAGGAGACAGAAGGGCTGAGTGTGGGCTCCGTGGGCTCTGGAGGCGTGTCGTGAGGCAAGGTGTTTGCCTTTGCAGAACCTGTTTCTGTGTGAAAAAAGATCCAAGGGATAATTTTGTTGAGCCTGCYTCAAGGGCATGCGCTGATGGTTGTGAAGACCCTGCAGTTGTGAAAGGTCTTTGRGAGGATCCAACACTCCCACTTGAGTGTCTGGGGCCTCTTGACCAGTCAGCACCAGGCCRGCCAATAGTACCAGCCCAGGCTGATGGATGCTGAAGAGAGGAGGGTGTGCAGAGGGAGCCGGGAGATCGCAGTGGCCCATTCTGGACTGCAGGAGGCTGGGTGGCCTTGGAAGGGTCTGAAGACGCCCATCTGCCAGCTCTGTCTCTTGTAGCAGGTTCTGGGTGACCCAGTTGGACCCTGAGTACTTGAGAAAGAGYTCTGGGAATTGGGAATGGGGCCTGAGACCGAGAAATGAAGCCTGAAGTTTCCCCCAGCTTTGAGTTCAAGGTCCYATTCTGGCTCCACTTCAGCAGAACTGTCCTATCTGCCCACACCTCACCCGAATCCCTCCTTGACACACTCTGGACAGGCCCTGTGAGTCCTCTCATCCCCTGCCCGCTGCCTGGGCCTGTGAAGACTTGAACAGACGCTGACATGGTTTCTAACAGCGCAAGCCCCATTCCTAGGATTACTCCAGACCTGACTAAGAGGACCTGCATGGGAAAGCTCAAGGTCGTCCCAGGAATTGATTGTTTCTTCTAGCCAACACCTGAAGGTGGGGTCCCCTGCTTTCCAGTGTATGTGGGAGAGCAGCAGCCTCACTTTGACAAGTATCGTTTCTAACCACTTATCTCACATGGACCATCCACTGCCATCTGCTTTTTAAAGTTTTTCACTTCCCTGGCTTTACTGTGGTCAGCTCACCCCYTCCTCCTCCACGTTCTTCCTTTACAACACCAGCCGCTCTGTACAAACTCAGGTGAGGTCCAGTTCACACTGGACTTTTCCCTGCCACCATGGAGGGTGACTAAGGTCTGTCCTCACCACTATAACTGGTGCTGACTTTGTCTCCACTCCCGCCCCAACTGCCCAGCCCCTCCTTTTTTCCTGTTTTGGGCAGGACCTGGTTTGTTAT